CTGAACCCGCGGCGGGAGCGCTGCTGCGCTCCCAGCGCCGCACTCTCCCGAGTGCGCCACGCGCTCGGCCCAAATATCTTTTTTAATGGCTGGTATGGCACTTCTTGTTTCATGTTGGCTCCAGTTCCAACATTAAATGTGAGTTTGACAAAATTTGTTAATATAATTTCCACAAATATGAAATTAAAGTATCTGTTCATAAGAGACTAATTAAAAATGAATGCAGGAGGGATACACATGTGCAAATAAGAGGAGATGTTCAGGATAAATTGTTAAAGAATGAATATAGTTATGACTATAGATTTTTTGTAACTAAAATGTGTAACTAAATTTTCTGAAACCAAAATACTTTGCAACTAAAATTATATGTGTGTATATTTATGCACATATTATGTGAACATATCTGCATGTTTGTATAGGTGTTTCACCTGGGGGTGAAATATAGAATTGCTGACAATGAACTCTGGACAGCTTTGAAAGAGCACATTGTACTGATCTAGGAGGGGAACATTAACCAGTAAATCCCAGTAGGCATCTCAGATGCTGGGGAAATATCAGCAGAGTACTTCAGCAACAAGGGGTGAACTTTCAAAAAGAGGACTGGGTCACATGTCTACTTCACAGATTAGTTGAGGTTCACTAAATCTGATGACTATTCAAAAAATTATAAAATTAAAGCTCTACACCACACATACACGCTTGCACACACACACATGAACATTGTAGACTTATGTCAGGCAAATACCTAAATAACGAAGATGTGCTGGATGACTTCTAGTATGACAGGACCCGAGATCAGCATTTTTCCTTTTCCACTACAAAGTGAGTAATTTTTACAATATGACAAAAAATCATCTGGACCAAACACAAGAATTTACCTTTAGGCAAATAATTTTGTACATACCCTATACTTTGACAGGTCAATCCTTAAAGAGTTATGCAACTGGTCCAGTAGTTTTATGAATTTTTCCCTCTGTACAAAGCAAACACAAAATAGAAGAGTGGGAGTAAACGGTCATGCTAAATGTAGTCCTCACAACAATTGTATGAGTTATTGTCCCCATATTGTAGAAAGTATCAAAAATATCAATGACTTGTCCGAGATCATAGAGCTAGTATGTGGCATACCAGTGGTTCAAATTCAGGTCTCTTTGACACCAAATCCATGGTCTTTCCAATAAGTCACACTGCCTCTCTATGATGAATGAGAAATGTATCATTGAGAGAAAGTTGCATTCTGTGGAAAGAGCTCAGACAAATGAATTACCACTATTCTTTATGTGTAATGGTTCACAGCAATATAGTGCGTCAGCAAGAGAAAATGCAAACCACCCCTTTTTCTACTGCCGCACACCACACTACTTCTCCAGAAAATAAAGTTTTTTAAACTTCTCTCACCTATGGAAGTGGGAACAATTGTTGTTTTTGTCAAAAACAATTTTCAGAAAGCATTTTCCTTTTGGAAGCAAATATAGACTTTATAATCCTAAAGGATCAATTGCTTTGAAAGTATGTTTATAATTTAGTGCTAAAAATTGTATAAAAATCAGGCCAAAAAATTGCTGCTGCTTCCTTTTAATGCTGTATCAGTGTTGGATGGTCCTCTTCACAGAAGTATTTGAAGATTATAGGAAAAAAAAGAGTTCTAAGTATAAGGTAGAAGTTGTGTGGATTAAATACAAACAAAGAAAAAACATCAAAGTCACACACGCAAACCCTGTTGGTAGACATGCCACTAATCTGAGTCTCAGTTTTCTCATCAAAAATTTAAAAAAAAAAATGGGGATGAAGGGTGGTGGTAGTGGACAAGATTAAATGACGGAAGAGTTCTTTCCCTAAATTAATATTCTGTAAACACCAAATTGGAATTTGAAAAACATTGACAAAAGTAGAAATTTTTCCCAAGAGTTTCACATAGGAGGTGGATTTATGGGTATGTAACTTTTATCCCTTGAAGTCACTGATCTTGATGAAGTGAGTTGAAATATTAACAGTAGTTGATGAGTTGTTCGTAAGTTGAAACTCCTATTTTCTGAGTAAACTGCCTTTATCAGATTTACATGTCAGTGAACAAAGCTTGAGTACCTCCTCTGTGTTAACCCCTGCGGAGGTTATAAAGGAGTAGAAGAAATGAACCTTGCCTTCTAGAAGTTTGCAATCTTGGTAGGCAGGTTAAGCCTCTCTATCCCAACAAAGCTACTGGAAAATGCTGTTGAATGTCATAGATGTTTCTCTGCCACCCTTCACCATATCTTCCCAGGAGAGGAAGCAACCTATGCTGTCCTTTATTAACTTCCCAACTCCCATCCATGTGGGTCAGTAGCTCTCAATCAAAATGAAAAAATAAAAGAGCCACTATAATAACCGGTTAAGGCCACAGTAAAGATAATCACTCAGATGATTGTAAAAGACAGTATGAGTCATAAAGTGTCTGGATGCTTTATCTGATGTCTGTGATTGGTACAAATCATCAAGTCAGCTGAAGTGACTCTGATCAACTATGCTATGGCCCAAATCACTGGTCTTCCTATACCCACTGAGGCAAACTGTGCTGGTTGTCTGCCCAATGTCCATTCTTCCACTGTCCCTTACTAACAGAACCTCATTTGCCAAATATGCCCAATATGAAATGCTTATCTTTCCAGACCTCTCTTCTTCCAGGGATGGCCATGTAGCA